TGTCTGTTTGTGTGTCTGTGTGTCTGTCTGTCTGTCTGTCTGTCTGTCTGTCTATCTATCTGTCTGTCTGTCTGTCTGTCTGTCTGTGTGTCTGTCTGTCTGTCTGTCTGTCTGTGTGTCTGTCTGTGTCTCTGTCTGTGTCTCTGTGTCTCTGTGTCTCTGTGTCTCCGTGTCTCCGTGTCTCTGTGTGTGTGTGTGTGTCTGTCTGTCTGTCTGTGTGTGTGTCTGTGTGTGTCTGTGTGTGTGTCTGTGTGTGTCTGTGTGTGTGTGTTTGTTTTTGTGCGTGTGTGATGATTTTAGTTGTTCTGAGGGTTCCAGCGTCATTGTGGATTCGCTTGAAGTTTTGGGCAGTTGCTGCGGTTCTTGGCACTGTTTGACATCATGCAGAACGTCTTCACAATTATGTGGTTCTTTGTGCAAGCCGGTAATCGCGCGATTTGCTACGTGCTCGACGTATTGGCCACTTGTGTCCACAACCCTGAAGCCTACATCCTCGGCCCAAGATTTTCAGATCCCACCACCAAAGAAGAACACAAGCTCAGTCACCATGATTGCAGCTTGTTGGTTGGAAGACGCCATAGCTCTGAAGAATTTAGACTCCGTTTGCAAAAGTTGTGTAAGGGATGCAGAGCGGCGAACAGCAAAACCCTCAGTCCTGCGTCTAAACCACCATGAAGTCTCGCTACACTCCACACCCTCCCGCCAAGCAAAAGAATTCTGACATCCCGAAGCCCTAAGCCCTGTACGGCCTCGCCCGGCCTTACAACGAAGCCTTCATAAACTTACATTGTTGTTTCTTCCCTGGCGAGGCGGCAAATTACTTGGTTTGGGTTCGCATTGGGCTATGCTGCTAGCCTGCAAATGGTTGTAGGAATTGGCGACAGATTTCGAGTCCTATAGAGCCTAGGGTTACACGGTATAGTGGGCTTTTCAGAGTTCCGGATTCACGATCGGTTTGTTGCTTGGATTGCTGAGAATTTCTGCACACATGACTTATATGACCATGCTCTGCAATTCCCTCTGTCACCCATGTGCACCGAGACCTCGTTTGAGTTGCAAGAGCGTAAAGCAACCCCGGGAACCCGGAACCCGAAGGCTACGTTGTCATATCGGATCTGGCCTACGAGCACCAGCAGTGGACGACGCCATCCTCCGAGTTCAGCGCTCTGGCTTTTCGGGGAGTCTGAACATGGTTCGTCGTAGAATGAGGGAGCCGAGGGTGGCTTGGGTTAGGCTGGGGCTAACTTAAGAAACATTGGATTGGGGTCAGGTCAGGCGAGGTTCATTGGTTACACGGTTGGGCTAGGTTCGGGTTGGGTCAGCGCAGGAGTTTTGAGGTTAGTAGTTTGGAACCACCGCGTAGCTGCCACGTCAGATATATATAAGTACCGGGCTCTGTTGTGGAGCAACTTGGTCTGAAATTTAACATACAACTTAATTGTAGACGAAGTTGCCCAGGTACAAACTTCAGAGCGGTTTTTGTTTTATCCGCACAGTCCCAGTTTCAGCAGCAGCTAGTCTCCTAACCAGCGTGAAGATCAAAATGCATCCATGCCTTGACCTGCAGGTATCCTCCTGGCTGTCACTGTGCTTCTGCGGTGGGCGCACGTCCTCACGACCTTTCGAGGGTACCAGTGGGTTGGCGAGAAGGCCGGAGACCCACGAAAATCAGACTCCGCAAACCAGGGTGTACCTTGCGAAGTCTGCACACAATGCCCTTTGCCCATCTGAGGACGCGATCCGTATGAATCCACTGAGCTGCTTTGAGAACTCAATTTGTGGGCTGTAATTAGGGCGTACAGCATCTATAGAATCTATAGGTTGATTACCAAGCCCTCCTCAACGTTGCGTGACTGTTCCTCCCGCGGCATACAGCTGACAGCCAAGCGCAGCCAAACACCGGTATTCAAGAAATCAAACAGCAATCGTGACGCGACCTCATTAACCCCACCTCGGAAACCAAAAGCAATCTACGTCTACTCCGAGCTGAAAAAGCCGTGTGTTGCGTTCAAGCCTCAGCTACGACGAAGGTTCTGCCATTATAGGAGCCGCGAGGGCCACTAATCGGGGCCAACGTCCACACAACTTCACTGATTCACTGAAGCCCGAAGCCCCCAACACTTCAATCCTCATCCCCGAGCCGTTTTGGCTTAGGGTTGTGAAGTCATCAAGCGATCTGCACATTGGACCGGTTGTGGGAAGCACTGCTATGGCAAAACCTACCCACCGCTTCGAGTTCCAGATCAATGGGCAGAAGTACTCCTTCGACACGGTGAAGAGTGACGTAGAGAAGCAGTCTCTACCACCCTACCAGGGCTTCGCGATCATCCTAGGGCCTGCGACCGTACCCCTTCAAGAGCACGACGAAGTGCGAGACTTCACAATCTACCAAGTGGAGACGCCAGATGAGAAGAAGATCTTCTCCTGTCTGAAAGCCACTGAGTTGCTGCAGAAGCTCAATACACCGCACCGGGCGGGAACCAGGCCATCCGGCGAGACCTACGAGGAGTGGGCCGAATGGGAGAAGACTTCGCGAACCAGCATCACTTTCGCGAGCTTCGACATCAACGCGCGAGATGTGCCTGGCAGCGGATATTATAGAATGGTGATCGGGAGTTAGTCAAATCTATGTTTGTCCTGCTGCACTGTATTGGCCGCTTCCACTCCTCGCAATTGTTTGCCAACTTGAAGCTGCAAGTGTACAGCATGCCAGCACGAGTGGCAAGAAACAAAAAAAGACAGAGTCCGAGTGTCTTTCACCGAAAACCGCTCAGAGCAAGGGCCAGGAATGTTTCAGGGACCCATCATGAAACCATGGCAGTCACGAGCCGGGACCAGGTACCAAAGCACCAGACCCCAAAAATAGAGACTCCTGCGCTAAGCCGCTCTTCGTGCAGCTCCCAGCTTGGCATCAACACATCGACGGTTTAAGGCTTGCATGTTTTTTTCAGGCGGAAATACAAAGCTTGCGACCTTCCACATGTCTATCCGCAGAAGCTTCTGCTTCTCGATTTGCGATTCTGAGTGTCGGGTTTTCAGGGTTGTAGGGTTGACGGTTTGCCACTTTTGGCAGAACGGTCGGCATGTCAAAGCTGCGCCTGGGCATCTAGGGCTTTTCAGCCGGACGACTGCGATGCCGCCATAAGTTGCATGAGTTTCGGGTCGCCGGGTTAGAGTTAGTACTACTACGGCAAAAAACCACGCAGTATTAGTGACCAGGGCAACAGAAGAAGCCTGGCAGCAATGCTAACGGCGACAGTAGTAGCAACAACGGATATGATTTATTTTTGAGGAAGTGAGCCGGAGTTTCCAAGCCTTCGCAAAATCCTCGATCGCTTTGCATAAGTTACCCGAAACACTAGCCACCCGAAAGCATACCCAAAGCCAGATGCAAAACGACAAACCTGATCATTCGCTACCCAGCAGGTTCTTCCCATTGAGCGAGCCTTGCAGCTCGGATGAACTTGCAGATGTTTCCAAACTATGTACGGCTCGTTCTGGTGTTTGGTATCTTGGCTATGTCTTGGTATTCCTTAGTGTACAGTCTGCTGCTTAACTTGGATAAGAATTCCGATTAGAATTGCAGTTGTCATGCAGATGAAGTTTCTGAGTTGTGGCTAGGAGTGAGAGGGTGTGTGGCTTTCCGTTGTGCCGGTACTAGGGTTTTGGTGCAGTGGGGATTCGGCACAGACATTTGGAGTTCAGAACTTTAAGACCTTCGTGTGTGAAGGTGTAGGGCCAAGGGCTCAGATTTGTTCAGCTTTTGCCCGGCATGAGGACGGGGATTGCTGTAGCCTGAAACTTTGAAGCTCCCATTTTGCTCATGCCCTGTGAAGAAACTATTAGGTACTCCCACTCCTGATTCTCGAGCCTGCACTTAAGCTCCCACCGGCCTAGAGAGACACCCTATCCCAGGATCTCGTCGCGAATGTTTGCCGCGATCCTGTGCCTAGTCATCAATTGCGGCTCACGAATCCAAAATAATTCATGGAACCGCCCAGCAACAAGACAACCCCAACCAAGCAAGAGTAGTACACGCTGTATATGTGTGGACAAGTACGTGTATGTGCGCATGTGTGTATGTATGTATGTATGTATGTATGTATGTATGTATGTAGGCATGTATATGTATATGTATACGTATACGTATATGTATGTGCATGTGTATGTATATGTATATGTATATGTATATGCATATGCATATGTATATGTATATGTATATGTATATATATACATATACATATACATATGGGGGCGGGCGTGTGTGTATATAGATATAGATATAGATAGACATAGACATAGACATAGACATAGACATAGACATAGACATAGACATAGAGAGAGAGGGAGCAAGAGAACTCGCTGTATTCTGTGTCGCGGCTGACGGGTGACTGACTACTATGTATATATATATATATGCATGTATGCATGTATATATATATATATAGATGTATACATGTATATATATATATGTATGTATGTATGTATGTACGTACGTACGTACGTACGTATGTATGTATTTATGTATGTGTATGTATGTGTATGTATGTGTATGTATATATGTATGTATGTATGTATGTATGTATGTATGTATTCCTTGCGGAAGGGGCAATAGCGCTATCAGTGACGCTGCCACTCTTGTGGATTTGTTTTACCGTTTTGGTGCACGATCAGCTATCGGCCTACCTTCCACCAGATGCAGTCACCAGTTACGCTGACGACTTCCATGTTCAGTGGAGCTTCCAACACTTTAGGGAGTTCAGGGCAGCATGCCACACTCTGCCACGAATCCTAGAGGACTTAGCAGCGTTAGGCATGGAAGTATCTGTCAGCAAAACAGTCATCATTCTTAGCATCAAAGGAAGGGAAGCAGCAGCGCTTTCCCAGAACCCATGCATTGCGGGTTCATATAGGAAAGTCCCACCCGGAAAAGCAGCCACCCAAAACACAGAACACTGCCTCTAAGAACAAACGTAGAGACGAATACCGGGCCTACGCGCTGCATGGGATGCCACAGTGCAGACTATGCCTGAAACGTTTTCATGCTTGGCCGGAATTCATGGGCCACATCTCCCAGCAAGCCTGCCCTTTTCTCGTGCTCCAGGACGTTGCCCCGCATGGCAACCAAGAGGCTTCCAAGGTCTCCCAGCAGTTCTTCGCTCAAGGGGCGCCCGCGCCGGAAGAACTGCCCACTCCGACAGCACCGGAAGAGGTAAGCTCCAGTGAACAACCGGAGCTCGCAAAACAGGGAGACATACTAAAACTCTCTCAGCAAGTACGACAGTCGTGTTCCATGCAACACTGCCCGGAGTGCTACCAATGGGTGGCCAAACCAACATATTTGGCACGTCACGCCGTGCAGTCACATTCACGAGTCAGGGACTTGCAGTCTGCCGTTAAGGAGTGGCTCAAGAATAGGAGCAGGCTGCAGCGCCCGTGCGAATTCTGCAAAGCGCATCTCCAGTCATGCCCAGTCTTGCGGATCAGTCTTCACCTCATGGCTAGGCACCATAATCTATTGGACCCAGGACAGACCCGCCTACCTTATGGCCATGCAAACGGATCAGCAACTGCAGGAGGCCCGCGAGGAGCTGGCTCAGTTCTCAGCGCTTCACACCCGCACCCCTGCCACGACAGCCCCCTCTTCCGACGCGGGGACGGAGATGGACCTCGACAGGGACAAGCGAGGGTTGGAACTGTCCAAGATGGAAGCTCCGGCGGAGAACAAAGGCGACAAGCAGCTGACGGCCCAGACGGGCAAGGGCCAATCCTCCACTCCGGCCCCGAAAGCAGGCCAGCAGGAGGCGGAGGAGACGAACCAGAAGGTTTGCCGGGAACGGGCTCGGGATCCAGCGAGCTGGCAAGACCGGACCGCAGCCGACGAAGCCAGGCCCGCGAGCATACCGGCAAGTGGGGCAACCAAACGTGGTGGGGCGCCAGGCGAAACCAAAATCCGCGACAGGGACGCCGAGACCGCGACAGCGACGAGGACCTCAAGGACCTGGTGAAACAGATGGGCAGGCTAGTTTTGAGATTGGAGGATGCCCAAACCATCGCCAGCCTCGACACGCAGTTCATCATGTTCATCGGCACGGTTTCAGACCACAAGGGGTGGTCCCTGACGGACAACCTCTACAGGGTCGCGACAGAATGGAATCGCAAGAAGGAGCAGTCTCCCGAATCATTGACACAACCGCTTCGGGTGGTGTTACTGCACGCCTTCTTGGAAGTCCTCTACCACAAGATCGAGGCCATGGAGGAGGATCAGGACCTGGCTAGAAGATCAGGACCTGCGCGAGAAAGCCAGGGAGCTGGGCCTGGTTCAGGATCTGGACACTGCCCCAGCCTACCCCTATCTTCGATGAGACAATCAGCAGAAAAGGCATGTGCAAGAAACGATGGCACCGCTCAGCCATCAGGAGTGGTCAAAATGCTGCAGAATTTGACAGCGTGTCCGAATGTCATCGGCCGCTTCCATGCCCTGCACAAGTTGGCTCCCCAGCACGCTGCGGAGGTCATTCCGTTCAGTTTGCAAATCCAGAATCGGAATGCCGAATCTCAGCAGATGTACATGGGCTTCCAGCGATTGGGCCGCAACGGGGTCATGCAGCTGTGCCACACCACCCTCCGCCCGACCCGCATGGGTCGCAGCCCCCTGTCGGTTCAAGTCGACAAGATGCTCCAATCCATGTGAGCCTCGACAAGGCCGCGGTGTGTCAACTCACTCTCAGTAATCCCAGCAACTATTGCTACGCCAACTCCATTACAAACTCTGTAGTTTGGGTTGCTAGTCAATGTTCACAGGGCATAGAGGTTTACCACCTGACCCTCAGCAGGCTGCTTCGTTGGCTGCTTGTGGCGCGTACGCGCGTGGCAGACTCTGACCAGGAGATGGGAGAATCCCGCCCGCCAGCACTGCGCGCACCTCGCAGAGGTGTTCACCCCAGAACACGGAGACTTTTGGCAAGCCCGCCTAAACTCCGGTACTAGCACTGAGGTGGTTGATCATGGAGACTTGTGGCCACTTCTGCTGAATGTTGCACCGCAGCTCGGCAACGACAGCACATGCACTCTGCAGAGTTTATTTATTTCTTGGCGCAATCAGGCCCGCCGACACGCGCTGGTGAGCCTCCCATCAGTTTTGCCAGTTCAGTTGTGTCGGTTCTCGGATGCAGGGGATAAAGTCAACTTCAAGATTGCACTGTCACGTCGAGTTTATGTGCCATTCTTTTCAGGCACAGGCATAACCACGGCCTCCCACCCGTATCAACTTACAGCCATAGTGTACCATCTGGGACCGACAAGACTCAGTGGACACTACCGCGCAGCAAAGCTCACAGAGGGAGACATTACATGGGTGACAGATGATGAGGAAACACCTCGTCAACCTTCGCATCTTGAATGCCAGGAGCTTCTGAATAATGATGAATAATGCATATATCCTGTTTTTGCAGCGACTGTAGGTCCACTTGCGATTTTAAGCTCCATGGAGCAACAACAACTTTTCGGGCGAAGCCCACCAGGGACTCGAACGCGTTTTTCCTGCTGCTCATGGTGCGAATCACGCCGGGCAGGCATCAGCCAGTACTTCTTACCTTCTTCTTTCTCCATTCTCATTCT